TAATGATCCTTCACTGTCAGTGAACTGTTGTGTATCAGGAGTAAATCTTTAAATGTCAAAGGTGGTGAATCAGCTGCCTTTTCATGAGCTGATATAATCTTGTGTTCTTGGTCTAAATTTAATGCCATTTTTCCGATATGATGTCTTGTATTTCCATCCTCTCCCTTCTGTGGTGTATTTCCACCCCTTCCTTCTGTGGTGCATTTCCACCCCCTCCTTTCTGTCATGTATTTCCATCCTCTCCCTTCTGTGGTGCATTTCCACCCCTTCCTTCTGTGGTGTATTTTCACCCCCTCCCTTCTGTGGTGTATTTCCACCCCCTTCCTTCTGTGGTGTATTTCCACCCCCTTTCCTTCTGTGGTGCATTTCCACCCCCTTCCTTCTGTGGTGTATTTCCACCCCCTTCCTTCTGTGGTGTATTTCCACCCCCTTTCCTTCTGTGGTGCATTTCCACCCCCTGCCTTCTATAGTGTATTTCCACCCCCTCCCTTCTGTGGTGCATTTCCACCCCCTCCCTTCTGTGGTGTATTTTCCTCCCCCCCCCCACCCCGCCATTCCCCACCACCCCGTTTTTTTGTGGGCAGTAACCAGAGGGAATAGCAGGAGAGAGGGAGAAAGAGAGAGGAAGGAGTGCTGATTCTGTATCCTTGACCAATACCTTAAATATTACATGATAGTCCTTAATCCATGTAGATGTGACTGGTTCTTCTCAGCAGATAACCTCGGTGTGGATATCCAAATATTTTGTTGTCTATCATTCCCGTGTGTACTCTGTTGTGTTGTGGCGCTAAAAGTAACGTTTTAAAACGAATGAGTCATCTTCTTAACCCTATACAAAATTATGGCGTTGGTACTGGCTGTGATGGCTAGTAACGTACCTAGATAGTGAACTAGCAGAGATAGCTTATTGTACGGGTGTCACGTAGCTCCATTGCTACCGCACTTAGTTCACACACTGAGACCCGGGGTTCGATCCCCGGTAGGGATGGAGAATCAGGACGTATTTCCCAAAGACACTTGCTGTCCCTGTTCACCTATCAGTAAAATAGGTACCTGGGTGTTAGCCGACTGGTGTGGGTCGCATCCTGGGACAAAATTGACCTAATTTGACCGAAATGCTCAGCATAACAAAGGGCTTTCTATAAAATAGTATGTCATTAATATTAGCTAAACTTGTATACCATGTACATGTACTTATAGAAATAAAGATTATTATTACTATCTGACATATGTTGGTGCTGATCAGAACTGCTGGGCAGCTGACAGTCCTCTAGATCTGTCTTGTATAACGAAGACTGAAGGGCAGAAGTGTCGTCTGGATAAGCTGGGCATAAGATACATAAAAAAAACGACAAACTGCAAAACAAAGACCCGGTTGTATTTTTTATAGTTAGTCGTTCTAGTGATGCTTGTGGAGTATTCATTATCTATTTCGTAACTAAAGATGATTATACTGGTAATGACACTATGGTGTCTCTGATGGCGGCGAAGTATTGCAAATTTTGCAGGACAAATAAAATAACTTGACGGGGGTGTAAATTACTCTGTGTATAGTAGTATTTAAGTTAAGGCAGCTCAGACTGCTTCTCTGAGATCGACGACACCATGCCCAGCCCTTCTAGGGAAGGGTAGGTGCCTAAGCCCGAGCCTTTAGCTCATAAGACTGTCATTCCCATTTGCCCCCTTGAGGCGGGGATGGCAGACCAGAGAGGCCTAGCTTGTGCCTAGGCCTGGGGACAGTTGGGGACAGTTGGTACTTGTGCCTCCTCCCATGAGAGACTTAGGTCTCAGACACTCCCTAAAGAGGGAGCCAAGGCCGGGCCACCACTTGGAAAAGGCCCGGGCCGGGAGAATACCGGCGAATGTTTAATAACAATAAATAATAATAATGCTTCTCTGATTCAGACGTTTCGGAGAATTCGCTTTCCATTATCAGTGCTGTGAAACACCGAAGACCGTCTTCCTGCGGAACTGAACATAAAGGATACATTCTTGTTTACAAAATTAAACAGAAATACATACATTGAAATCAAGAAATATTATGTAAAACATCGCTATAAAAAAAACGTTAAAATTTTTCAGTTAAATTCCCCCCAGGAGCGACCCAAAGAATAATTCTCGTTGCACCAGAAAATATTAACATCTGTGTAAGATAGTCACCTGACGCGATTTACTTTTAAAAGATATTTGGATTGAATTTACAGGCACAATACTGTAGTTGTTACAAGCTTTGATCTCGTTTTCTGTGTATAACAGAAAACATCGATTCTGAGAGAAAATGTCAAGGGATACACTGAGAAGTGTTTGTCTCTGTGTATATACGTTGAAAGCTTATATTAATCCAGCTTGAATTCAGGGATTAAAGTATTATTGACTGGTAGTGAACAAGTGTCATGTATCCTCAGTAACACTTGCGTAGATGATGAACGTTAAGACGCGTATTGCACTGTATTAAAAGGTGAAGCTACCGAGTGGCAGAAGTCATTACTCTCAGATCTTTGTGAGCACATATTACTGACACAGGGACCTTCAGTCACAGTAGTCTTCCGTCACAGTGGCCTTCCGTCACAGTGACCATGAAGACGGTCTAGCAAGCTGATAATTTGTTTGAAATAACTTATCCGAATGTTGGAGGATGGTGTGAGCACACAGTGCTGCCTACACATGTGTAAGTGTAGAGGACTACCCACCTATATGTAAGTGGACTCACAGTTCTAGCCAGGTACGGAGTATAGCAGCTCTACCAGGAAAACGATTAAACTTTACAGGTCTGAGAACAAATACTCAAGTTTCAGACTTCCTGACGTGTGGTTCCAGAGTGTACTCACCTATTTGTGGTTGCAGGGGTCGATTCATAGCTCCTGGCCCCACCTCTTCACTGATCGTTACTTGGTCCTCTCACTCCCTGCTCCATGTGTTTTATCGTACGTCGTCTTAAAACTATGTATGGTTCTTGCCTCCACTATGTCACTTTCTAGGCTATTTCACTTCCTGACGCCTCTATGACTGAAGAAATACTTCCTAACATCCCTTTGACTCATCGGAGTCTTCAACTTCCAATTGTGACCCCTTGTTTCTGTGTCCCATTTCTGGAACATCCTGTCTTTGTCCACCTTGTCAATTCCACGCAGTATTTTATATGTCGTTATCATGTCCCCCCTAACCCTCCTGTCCTCTAGTGTCGTCAGGCCGATATTCCTTAACCTTTCATCGTAGGACATTTTCCTTAGCTCTGGGTCTAGTCTTGTTGCAAACTTTGCACTTTCTCTAATTTCTTGACGTGCTTGACCAGGTGTGGGTTCCAAACTGGTGCTGCATACTTCAGTATGGGCCTGATGTACACGGTATACAGTGTCTTGAACGATTCCTTACTAAGGTATCGGAACGCTATTCTCAGATTTTCCAGACACCCATATGGTGCAGCAGTTATCTGGTTGATGTACGCCTCAAGAGATGTGCTCGGTATTATACTAACCCCAAGATCTTTTTTCCTTGAGTGAGGTTTACAGTCTTTGCCCACCTAGACTATACTCTGTCTGCGGTCTTCTTTGCCCTTCCCCGATCTTCATGACTTTGCATTTGGCGGAGTTAAAGTCTAGGAGCCAGTTGCTGGACCACGCGTCCAGTCTGTTCAGGTCTCTTTGTATTCCTGCCTGATCCTCATCCGATTTAATTCTCCTCATTAACGTCACATCATCTGCAAACAGGGACACTTCTGAGTCTATCCCTTCCATTATGTCATTCACCTCGCTAGTCACAGGCGCCTTCTCTGACACCTCGTCACGTACCATGACTCGTTGTTGCCTCCCTGTCAGATATTCTCTGATCCATTGCAGTGCCTTTCCTGTTATGCATGTCTGATCCTCTAGCTTTAGCATTAACCTCTTGTAAGGAACTGTGTCGAAGGCCTTCTTGCAGTCCAAGAAAATGCAGTCTATCCACCCCTCTCTCTCTCTCTCTCTCTCTCTCTCTCTCTCTCTTGTCTGACTTCCGTTACCTTGTCATAAAACTCCAGTAGGTTTTTGAAACAGGATTTTCCCTCCCTGAAACCGTGCCGGTTGTCGATTATAAGCTTGTTTCTTTCTAGGTGCTCCACCACTCTCCTCCTGATAATCTCCATGACTTTGCATACTATACACGTCAGTGACACTGGTCTGTAGTTTAGTGCCTCGTGTCTGTCTCCTTTCTTAAAATCTGGGACTGCATTTGCTATCTTTCATACCTCAGGTAGTTGCCCAGTTTCAATGGATGTGTTGAAGATTTTTGTTAGTGGCACACAGAGCATCTCTGCTCCCTCTCTAAGGACCCACGGAGAGATGTTGTCTGGTCCCACCGCCTTTGAGGTATCAAGTTCACATAGCAGCTTCTTCACCTCCTCCTCCTCCTTTGTGTGTAATTCATCCAGCACTTGTTGGTGTATTCCTTGTTGGTGTACCTCCCTATTCTAACTTCTTGGAGTCCTTCCTGTCTCCACTGTAAATACTTCTTTAAATGTTATGTTGAGCACCTCACATACTTCTTGGTCGTTTCTTGTGAACTTTCTACCTTTCTTCCTCAGCCTGATTACTTGGTCCTTGACTGTTGTTTCCCTCCTGACGTGGCTATAAAGCAGGTTCGGGTCAGACTTGACTCTCGATGATATGCCATTTTTGTATTGTCGCTGTGTATGTGTGTGTGTGTGTGTGTGTGTGTGTGTGTGTGTGTGTGTGTGTGTGTGTGTGTGTGTGTGTGTGTGTGTGTGCGTGTGCTCACGCGCAAGTACATTTTCATGTATACCAACTCTTTTTAATGTATGCATAAATAACTCACTACGATTGTGACAGGATATAAGCATGTAAATGGTTTATTATCACTGTAACTTGTTCAGCTACCAATATTTTGCGGCCCAGTCCCTGGACCTATTATGTGCATCTGTAATCCTTTGGCTACCGCCCATAGGATGGATATGTGATGCATAATAAAGATGTGAAACTAACAGTTCTTCTGTTTCTCTCCGGCAGAACAAGATCGTCGTGTGTAATAGAAAGCCTTGTCCTAGTCTTGAAGGTTGCTACTGGAAGATCACTGTAGACAAACACTGTTGTCAGATATGCAAGGGTGAGTCTCCCTGAAGTGTTGTCCTATCTGCAAGGGTAAGTCTGCCTTCATACTATTGTCTTTTATCAGACCTATTAGGATGAGTTTCCTCTTGGATTGTTATTAGATCTGTTAGAGTGAATTTCCGCTAACATTGTTATCGAGTGCGTTTGCGAGAGTTTCCTCAAGCACTTCTTATCGAGCATACTAGAGTGTATCCTCACCACGTCTGCACTCACTTCATTACAATTCCACATTACTCTAAGACATCCCATTCCAACTCTAGCACTTGATTATTACTTTAGCACTTTCTCAATTTTTACTTTTTTTTTGTGGATAAAAAGTTGATGGGCAGACCTTTAGATGTGCATGCTTTTGGACAGACTAATGAAGTCATTGTTTATTGGTAGCTACAGTAAGAGCTGGAAGCAGAAATAATGCAAGGATGATGGCGTCAGTGGGTAAGAAATGTGGGTAAAGTAAATGAGCTAAAGGTGACAATGGGAGATGTAAGAAGATATAAGAATGAAGGGATTGAAAGAGTACATTCAGTGAGGAGGTCGAGGAAGTATGCAGTAGAATTACAAATGCCTTGCTAGAGTTGGCAGCCAAAGTTTGAAGTTGTACAAGGGTGGGTGCTAATGGGAAGAGGAATGATTGGTGGAATGATGAGGTAAAGAGGGAGGTGAAGTACAAAAAAAAATGTAAGCTTATGTATATAAGTAGATAAGAAAAAAAATAGATAATGGCCAGAAACTGCTTGTCCTTTTACGAATTTATGAAAAAAATCGTGTGATAGAGCGGACAGAGGAACACTGGCAAAAGTTCCAAATGTATGGAATAAGTTAGTTACTAAAAGGAAGGAGTTTTCACGTGGGCAATGAGGCTTAGGGTAGGACATGTAGGGGAAAGAGAGATGGACTGTTTCTTAGAAAAAGTAAGTATTAGACAGGGATATGCAATATAACCATGGTTGCTTAATAGTGAATGCTGGGGTGGTGGGAAGAGGTGTGGGATTAATAGACAATGAATCTCATAGAAAGGAAATGTAACAGATGCACTTTGCTCGTGACACAGTTCTGTTCTGAAAGATTCTGAAGAAAGTTTTCAAAGGTTGGTGGAGGAGTTTGGGATGGTGTGTAAAAGAAGGAAATTAAATGTAAACACAGAAAAGAGCAAAGTGATGAGGGTAGCAAATGTTTCTGCAGTGAAAGATTAGGCATGAAACTGGTGGAATTGTAAATGAAGTGAAGGTATTTAGATATTTAGGAGTGAATACGTCAGCAGATAGCACTGAAAAATGAAGGAGAACCATAGAATAAACGAGGGAAACTGGTAAGTGAAGTGTTGAGGCACCACTTGAAAGAAATTTCTCATTGGAGATCACAAGGACAACATATCGGAGAATAAGGATACCAGCACTATTGTACGGGTGTGAGAAGATTGGCTTTAAATACTGCAGCATGAAGGAGGACAGAGGCAGAGTAGATGCCATGTTGCGGAGCAATAGTTGATGTGAATATTAAGCAGAGAAATCGCAGGGGATTAGGAAAAGTATAATTCGGAGGACTGAGGAATAGTTGTCGAGATGGTCTTGGAATTTTGAAAGAATAGAGCAGAAGAGGATAAACAACAGGTTGCATAAATTTGATGGAAGGAAAGTGAAGGGGGTCACTCTAGGAAGAGCTGGAGGGAGAGCCTGAAGTTTTTAAGTAGGAAGGACTTGCGCATCCAGCAGACTTGTGTGAACATGTTAGATATGAGTGACTAGAGATGAGTGCCTTGTAGGATTTGACGTGATGTTGATGAACAATGTAACATTTATGAAGGTGTTCAAAGAAAATGGTTGACCAGACTCAAGCCCTGGGGGTGTCATACGAATACAGATTATGCATATAATTGAACTTTTTGTACGATCCTGGAAGATAGGACAGGTTTTAGAGTAGGTTAGTGAGAGGAATGACTTGAGAGTGAGAGAAAGCAGCCGAGCTGAACCCAGCAGCTGAGCACTGATGAAGGGCATGTGACGGCAGCTTGTATGGAGGCGAGTTGGTCTAGGCAGGTAGACAAGACAAGAAAGTTTAGGTAAGACCATGGTGGGGTGAGCGTGGAAGTGGGGATCAAGGAAGAATAGATTGGTGAGAGGAAGGTTATGAATGGTAGAGATAGTACCAGGGCTTAACCTAGTAGCTAAAGGAAGATCTAAAGGGTTAAGGGTACGACACCAGAGCTCACAAACGCACGATACTCTCCTCTTGGGCACTTTGGGTTAACCAAGGTGACTAATTTAAGTCTGACAAGGAAATCTGGCAAATTACGTAATGAAAATATACTAATAAAAGAAACCGGCTCGATTTCAATGGTCCAGGCCCTTTAACATAGGCCTGTGGGGCAAATTTATGTTTATTTGTAGATGGGAAGGACTGGTAAAGTGGCGTGTAGGTCAGTACCGGCACTCTGAAGCAGTGGTGGGGAGTTTTAGCTCGTAGGCTCAACCTAATTGTGCTCTCTGATCATTTCTGGCAAGAAAACTATTGAGTGAATGATAATGAATATTTGTTCTTTTTTTTTTTGGTCATTACGTATGTGGGAGACGGTCAGTGGTAAAAAAAAAAAGTCATCATAATCGTCATTATCACAATAATTATCAATGTTACTATAAATATTATTCTGATTACTCACGGCCACGCTGGCGGGAGATTCGTCTGTATAAACTTGCATTTGTGGTCACAGTGGTGCCTATGCTAACCGTACTATCGTAATCGCCTTCAAAAGCGTCAATATCTTCATGACTGACGTGATACTAATCACCACAATCATCAAACAATCGCCAAACACCATATTAATACAGCCCTTTCATTCCCCCTGGCTACAGGTTGTGAACATCAGGGCAAGTGGCACCACCACGGGTCTCGCTGGTCGGACGGGTGTCAACATTACCAGTGTCTCTCAGGAGTACTAACAGTCTCCCAGACACAATGCCACATCCCCTGCTACGGTCCTCTGCAACCCCATGGCAAGGCTTGCTGCTCTTCTTGCTTAGGTGAGTGTTTGATGGGGGAGGGGAGAAGGAAAGTAAGGGCATGGTGAACAGAGAATATATATACCAATAACTGTCTGTGTATAATGCACACTTCGAAGTATGTATCGGAATAAATATGTATCGTGAGGTATCTGTAAATTGTATGTACATTAAATTATCTGTGGGTATACATCGATGTATATGCATCTCTAAGTGCATATTCACTTCAGTCCCTAAGGAAAATATTAGATTGATTGAGTGATAGACTAACTGAGCGACAGACTAATTGAGTGATAGGCTCATTGAATGATAGAGTAAGTGGGGAGGGAGAAAAATCAGAGGGAAAGAGAGAAATGAGCGAGTTCAGCAGCGTCTGGAAAATGACTCCACAACCCAACCAGCCGTTCCTTACGACAAAACCTCATTATGCCTCAACATTAACAGAGTCTACCATCAAACACACACCAATACAGAAAATGTCAGTCATCATATAGTTAGAGAGGTAAACTAAGGTAAACGAGAAGAAGTTAATTGAAAAAAAAATAAAATCAGGAGATAGTACAGAAAGAAATAATTGCAGAAGAAGAAAATTAGCCCATACACAGTTCCAAAGACTCAACTGAGCACTCACTCAACATGGAGGGCTCAATATGGGGACTGGGTGCTCTACGGAGATCAGATTATTATTATTATAATCAAGGGGGAAGCGCTAAACCCGTAGGATTATACAGCGCCCAGGGGAGGGGGGATGTGGAAGGCATTCAGGCTTAATTCGGGGAACTGGAGCACAGATCCAATTCCCTAAATCAAGAGCCCCTCACCAACATCAAGGAACCTTCCATGAGGGGTACGGAGATCAGAGAGGCCTTCAGTCTGCCAACATAACACTCCCTTCACAAACCATGGAGAAAGGTGCCTTGATACTGGTGAAGGATTCTTGATACAAGAAATTATAGCTACTCTACCCTGTCTTCAGTACACTTAACTTCCTTTCCCCATTGTAGTGACCCAGGTGGCTCCCAGGAAGGAATAACTTCACAGGCGGAGGACAAAATAACTTCAGTGCACAGGAAAACACAAATTTTAAGGTGACATTCAAGATATAAAGCCAAGGCAGACCTTATATATATATATATATATATATATATATATATATATATATATATATATATATATATATATAATATATATATATATATATATATATATACATATATATATGTCCAATATACAAAAAGAGTTAGAAACAGAAATACAAATAGCTAGAGCTTCATTTAAGGTTATTAATATAATATTCAAGAGGTTGCTAGTAGAATTGCAGTAAATCAACCATTCAAATCATTATGAAGCTGTGTGTAGTCTGTGGTCAGTCAAACAAACGGGCTTCCACATGGATAAATTGTCATTTTTGTGGAAATTGGTGTCACGCCCCTTGTGCAGATATTCAAGAACTAGCTACAAGCAGTATTAAAACAGAGAAGTGTTTTTGGGTATGCCCAAATGAGGAAAATCTGTGGACTAAAATCACAAGGGTATTAAAAGAGGACAACATCAAAGCTGCTTTCATAGAAAACCTGGAAGCTTTCTACAACAGATGGGAACATAAAAAGTCTGGGCTGAATGGTACTGCCCTTGATACTGGCCATGTAGTCAGAAACTGTAAGGCTGGAGGTGATGTCCTGGTAGTCAGTAAATGTGGGGCTGATAGTGCTGTCCTGGGAGACAGTAATGGTGAAGCTGGAGGTGCTGTCTTGGGAGACAGAAATGGTGAAGCTGGAGATACTGTCCTGGGAGACAGAAATGGTGAAGCTGGAGATACTGTCCTGGGAGACAGTAATGGTGAAGCTGGAGATACTGTCCTGGGAGACAGTAATGGTGAAGCTGGAGATTTTGTCCAGGTAGTCGGGAATTATACGCAGGAAGGAATACATATAAATGACCTCTTAGGGGACAGGAGCCATAGTAGGGAAACAAGTGTAGTCAAAGATAAGATAAAACCAATATTGCAAACTAGAAATACCGCAGGAAATAGCAAACAAGAGGACTCCACTAGCAATAATGAGGATATATTACCAAAAACAACTGGTGGGAGCTCCATTGTTGGTGCTAGGGAGGATAGAAGTAAGACAGGGAAACATGCACCAACAGGGAATACAGTCACAGAAACCCAAGGCAAGCCGAAACCAAGCCTGTGCACATACTATGCACTTGGTATCTGCTGGCATGGGAAATCTGGAAAAACAGATGGGACATGCAACTATGACCACCCTAGAAAATGCCATGCCCATATGACAACAGGAAAATGCAAACTCCCTTCCTGTAAGCTTTTTCACCCTGAAATGTGTACCTCTTCAGTACAGGAAAGACTGTGCTATAACTTAAATTGCCAGGCATACCATCTAAAGGGGACAAAAAGATACAAAACATCCAGGCCATGGGAAAACCTGGGTAGCCACAGCCACTCAAGAGGGAGAGGTTTTTTAGTGCCAGGAAGGAAAAAAAACTGGCAGGAAATGGCAGAAATCGTACACCAAATCCAGTCATTCCTGGAGTGGAACCACAGTCGATGGCCTCCACTCCAAACCAAAAGATACAGATACTAATGCCGGAAAAAAAATCCCCCCCCCAGTACCAACAATACCACCAGTCCGATAACATTCTTCTTTGCAAATATACAGGGTCTAAAGCCAGCAACAAACAACAAAATACCTTTCATCCGTGGACTGCTTGCAGAGGCAAAGGCAATGTTCGCGGCTTTCACTGAGACCCACATAAAGGATCACTTGGACAACGAAATATGGATCCCAGGTTACAACCTATACAGATGTGACAGAGTGAACAGGCAAAAGGGGGGGGGGGTTGGCCTGTACATTGCAGAGTCACTTGTTTGCACAGAACTGCTTAATGCCTCAAATGATGTAGTGGAAGTTTTAGCAGTAAAGGTCGAGAACCAAAACCTAGTCATTGTGGTAGTCTACAAGCCTCCGGATGCAACATCCCAGCAATTCCAGGAACAGCTGTTAAAAATTGACCACTGTCTGGAAAATCTTCCAGCTCCTGCACCCAACATCTTGCTTCTGGGGGATTTCAACTTAAGGCACCTAAAATGGAGGAATATAGCAAATAATATTGTTGCAGTAATAACACCAGGAGGCAGCTCTGATGAAAACTCACACTCACACGAGCTTTTAAATCTCTGCACAATATTCAATTTAAACCAGCAAATAATAGAGCCTACTAGACTGGAGAATACACTAGACCTCATCTTCACTAACAATGATGATCTGATAAGAAATGTCACCATATCAAAAACAATATACTCAGATCACAACATAATTGAGGTTCAGACATGTATGCGTGGAGCCCCAGACCGACAAAATGAGACTAGTCACGAGGGAGCACTCACCAAATTCAACTTCAATAACAAAAACATAAATTGGGACCAAGTAAACCAAGTCCTAACCGATATAAGCTGGGAAGATACACTAAGCAACACAGACCCAAACTTATGCCTAGAACAGATTAACTCGGTGGCACTCGATGTATGCACAAGGCTTATTCCTCTAAGAAAAAGGAGGAGTAGATGTAAAATAGAAAGAGACAGGCGCTCCCTTTACAGGCGACGGAAAAGAATAACAGAGCGGCTAAAAGAGGCCAATATATCTGAAATGCGTAGGGAGACACTGGTCAGAAAAATAGCAAGCATCGAACTTAAGCTAAAAGAATCCTTTAGGAGTCAGGAATCGCGGGAAGAACTAAAAGCCATAAATGAAATCGAAAGAAACCCAAAGTATTTCTTCTCCTATGCCAAATCAAAATCCAGTATTGGGCCCCTACTTAAACAAGATGGGTCCTACACAGATGACAGCAAGGAAATGAGTGAGCTACTCAAGTCCCAATATGACTCAGTTTTTAGCAAGCCGCTAACCAGACTGAGAGTCGAAGATCAAAATGAATTTTTTATGAGAGAGTCACAAAATCTGATTAACACAAGCCTATCCGATGTTATCCTGACGCCAAATGACTTCGAACAGGCGATAAATGACATGCCCATGCACTCTGCCCCAGGGCCAGACTCATGGAACTCTGTGTTCATCAAGAACTGCAAGAAGCCCCTATCACGAGCCTTTTCCATCCTATGGAGAGGGAGCATGGACACGGGGGTCGTCCCTCAGTTACTAAAAACAACAGACATAGCCCCACTCCACAAAGGGGGCAGTAAAGCAACAGCAAAGAACTACAGACCAATAGCACTAACATCCCATATCATAAAAATCTTTGAAAGGGTCCTAAGAAGCAAGATCACCACCCATCTAGAAACCCATCAGTTACACAACCCAGGGCAACATGGGTTTAGAACAGGTCGCTCCTGTCTGTCTCAACTATTGGATCACTACGACAAGGTCCTAAATGCACTAGAAGACAAAAAGAATGCAGATGTAATATATACAGACTTTGCAAAAGCCTTCGACAAGTGTGACCATGGCGTAATAGCGCACAAAATGCGTGCTAAAGGAATAACAGGAAAAGTCGGTCGATGGATCTATAATTTCCTCACTAACAGAACACAGAGAGTAGTCGTCAACAGAGTAAAGTCCGAGGCAGCTACGGTGAAAAGCTCTGTTCCACAAGGCACAGTACTAGCTCCCATCTTGTTCCTCATCCTCATATCCGACATAGACAAGGATGTCAGCCACAGCACCGTGTCTTCCTTTGCAGATGACACCCGAATCTGCATGACAGTGTCTTCCATTGCAGACACTGCAAGGCTCCAGGCGGACATCAACCAAATCTTTCAGTGGGCTGCGGAAAACAATATGAAGTTCAACGATGAGAAATTTCAATTACTCAGATATGGTAAACATGAGGAAATTAAATCTTCATCAGAGTACAAAACAAATTCTGGCCACAAAATAGAGCGAAACACCAACGTCGAAGACCTGGGAGTGATTATGTCGGAGGATCTCACCTTCAAGGACCATAACATTGTATCAATCTCATCTGCTAGAAAAATGACAGGA